TTGGGTTAGTATTTTGTTCATTTTCAGCTCAGTTGAGTAATTTTTGCTTCCAAACTAGTGTAGTGTAAGAGGATGGAGAGCCACTAATTCACTTCAAAAGAAAAAGAATTGATTGTTGTCGAACTTTCTATGGAAATTGATTAGTGTGCTGAATGTCAAAAGGTCGATCATTTTGTTGCAAATTTCTCTTTATCAAGTTTTAGTATCCTTGCGGATCGAATATGTCACTGTGTCTTGTTAGACATCTAAAGAGGAAATATAACACAAAGATCTTTTGTGTTTCCAGGGTTATCTACTGAGGTTGTTATGGTGCTCAGGCTGTTCTTGGAGGCTGCGGATATTAATCTCTACTGGATAATGCTAATCTTCCCATTTATTCTGTTGGATTTTGCTTCGTATAACCCAGCTGCTTATCTCTGGTCAGTGTTTTTTACTTCATTGATTTTCAACATCCATTCAGTTTTATGTAATTGGCTCGTATTTGTTAAGTATTTATAGTATAATGATTGTTTTGGAGATATGAGCGTAGAATATCTACATTCAACTGCGATAGATAGTTATGGAAATGAGCGTGGGATTACATATCATGTGTTATGCAGTTTCAAAGTTATCTGAAAAGACAGATTAAGAAATGTCACTTGAATGCTATAACTGCTGTACAAGTTGGGTAATACGTTTTAGCTTGAGTCTCAACTAATATAATATATACATGAAGTATGCATGGGTTTGCATTTTAATATAGTAATGTACCTTTTTTCATACAGTTGCGTGCCTATATTTTAGCGCACATGTTTCCGCTTGTATTTCTCGACAACGTATAAGATATATTTCTCCTATTAATTAGTTCCCTTTATCATATACTGGATATATTTCTTCCAGATGTTTAATCTGACTGATTTCACCGTCATTCCAATTACTTTTGGCAGCATCATCTGTTCCTCTGTTTTGACATGCTTTTCTTTTTGCTCATTGACAGCTTTGTTTTCCTCCAGCGACCGAAAAAATATGTGGGCGTGTTTTTGGCAAGTTCTGATCCATTAAATACCTCTCTCGCGATAAGTTATCGGTTTTATATTTGCAGCTGCCCAGAATTTTATCCTTAATTTTATGGCGTATCTAAGTTCATGGGATTTCAATATGTTTGGACATTTATAGTATTTTGAGATGCAAACAAGTTACCTTTCAATAAACCTTGACATAGTTATGTGGAAAATGTTTAGGGTTCATTTACTTTGTTTCTTAACCTAAAGAATGCTCAAGGAAAGAAGAGCATGGGAAGACCCTGGTGATTCAGAATTGTCATATATTATGAGACTGGAGCAAAAACCTGTTTTGCTATTTGAAATAGCCTATTTCCATGAACATAGATTATATAACTGATTGACGTAGAACACTTTTGGTTTATTCCTCTTTATAAAGTCTCTTTTGGTTTAGTTAACATCCAATCTTAGGTACTTTTAGATTGTAATTGTCTTACTGCACCATCAATATCCCCATGAATCAGACTTCGTCATATTCTTATGCAGAATAGCTAAGGTATTGGCCACAAAAGAGCCTTGTGACAAAGCTTGCGAATTTGGTGATAGTCTCTGTTTCCAATGAAGATATCCCACAAGACTTCTCTAGACAAGGTTACATTCATTGCTTAATTCTTATTTAGGATTTGCCCCTTCCCTGCGAAGACACATATCATCTTAGCATTAATTGACTTACATACTCTTAAGTATTTGAAGCCTATGTATCTCGTGATTTAGACGTTACTTCCTACATGCCATGTATATTACGAAAGCCATGACTATTTTAGCAGTTGTGAGCATTTATTTAGGAAACTCTATATTGTCCTGAATCCATCAGCGAGGACTGAAAATCGAAAACCATCCTTGATCCGCTCATTATCTTTGTTGTGCCTCTCTCTTCATTGCTTTTGGACAATGACCATCCTAACTGATATGCATGGGTCTTCATTTTAATATGGTAATGCACGTTTCTTCTATGTACAGGTAATTGTATGTTGATATTGCAGCGTATGTAGTTGCGGCTTGTATATTCTCGACAACTTTTAAGATATTCTTTCCCAGTAATTAGTTTCCTTTTATCATAAATTGGATAAGAAATTCTGGATGATAACTCTGACTGCGGTTACTGTCATCGCTATTAATTTTGGCAGAACTATGTTGCAATATCTTGACATAATTTTTTTTTGGTTCTTGGCAGGCTGTATTTTGCTTCAACAACGGATAAATCAATGGGTGTGTTTGTGGTAAGTCCTTAAATGTTTTTCTCACAATCAGTAAGTGATGAATAATCTATTTTCCATCTCAAACTGGTAAGAATTTTATCCAAAAATTCAAGGCATCTCTAAGTTGATAGAGAAATTAATATAGTAGTTTTCTTTTTAAGCATTCATGTAAATTAACAATGGATGTGACACCGATTCACACCAGAAAGGAAAACAAGCTAACAGAAGGATATTGATTAATGTCTAACTTTCGATGGACGATAATCAGTGATGTAGAAATCTAATGTAGTCACTCTGTTGCAACTTGAATGCTCTAATTGCTGTACAAGTTAGCAAACCATTTTAGTCGGAGTCTCAACGATTTTAATATGTATATAAAGTATGCATGGGTTTGCATAATACTATGGTAATGCGCGTTGTGTTATATGTGCATGCTTATATTGTAGCGCACGTGTTTGAGCTTGTATTTCTCGACAATATTTAAGGTAGTTTTCCTCTATTAATTTGTTACCACTGTAACTGCTGTACAAGTTAGCAAACCATTTTAGCCTGAGTCGCAACTCTTTTAATACTTATATGAGCATGGGTTTGCATAATACTGTGGTAATGCTCGTTGTTTTATATGTGTGCATGCTGATATTGTAGCACACTTATTTGAGCTTGTAGTTCTCGACAACATTTAAGATACTTTCCCCCTATTAGCTTGTTCCCTTTATCATATATTGGATACATAAAAGTCAAGATGATTAGTCTGACGGATTACCGTCATCCCAGTTATGTATTGGCATCATATCATCATTGGTTTCACTATCTTGGCATACTATTTTTGTTCCTTGACAAGCTGTTTGCTCCAGCAACGGTAAAATCCATGGGGGTGTTTTTGGGCAAGTTCTGATCCATTAAATGTCTCTCGCGATAAACAAGTAACTAACTTTCAATCTGAAGCTGGATCTATTAAATGTCTCTCGCGATAAACAAGTAACTAATTTTTGATCTGAAGATGCAGATCTTAGCCCTAAATTCTTGGCATATCTAGCTTCATTGGAATTCAATATTATCTAGGCATTTTCTAGTATTTTTGAGATAAAGCAAATGCTTTTCAGTATCCAATACTCGAGGAAAGTATATCACCTGGTTAATCAGAATTGTGTGGGTTATATTATTAGACTGGAGCAGAGTGTTTTTTCTTTCTTTTTTGCTATTTTTTATCATCGTAAATTCTTGAATCGATTGACGTGGAACATTTGCGGTTTATTCTTCTTTTCTGAAGTCAGTTTTGAAGACTGGTCTTTGGTATCTCATCTTCAGATTGTAAACGTCTTATGTTTCTGCACCATCAATATCCTCTATGAATCAAACTTTGTCTTTATCTTACTCAGAGGCTTTATGCAGTTGGATGGCCACATAAGAGCCATGTGACAAAGCTTGCGAATTTGGTGATTGTCTCCCTTGACACTGCAGATTTACCCACAAGGCTTCCTTCTTCCAGGTTAGTTTCATTATTTAACTCTTAAGGATTTAGCCAGTGTACTTGCAAAGACACATAGCTATATTAGCATTTATTGACTTGTGTAGTGTTTTGAGACCTAGGGTAGTTTATGACCTCAGAAGAATCCTGTGAGCTTGGTGATAAGGCCCTTTGCAGCTTGAAGAATACCCACAAGGCGTCCCTAGACCAGGTTACATTCTTTTCTGACCTCTTACTTGAGATTTAGCCAGTTCACCTGCAGAGACACATAGCAATCTTAGCATCTATTGACACTTGCATTACTCTAACTGCGTCACACTTTTAATTTAAGCTGAAACAAATAGTTCCCAAGCGAGCATATTAGCAACTCTGAGCATTTTCTTGGGAAACCTTTATGTTATACCCATCATTATAATGAGAAAAAAAAATCATTCTCGACCCCCTCATCATCCCCTGGTTCTCTACTAAGATAGTACATAATCTCTATCACTTTAAATGAATGAGGTAGATCACAATTTACAAACAGCTTCTTAACTCAATATCTGAGTTTTTACTCCATTTCAGTTTGAAAATACAAATATATCCTTAACTCAATAATCCTTCATAATGTTATATAACCTAACTAAGTTCCTTCTCTTCACTTGTGTTGCAGCATAGCATCAGTATCCATTCAACACCTTCATATGCCACATTGGAGGCAAGACATGGTTCTGGGGAGGGAGGTGCAACAAGTGCTTCAGACTGAAAGATCACAAACAAAAATGAATAGTTGTTAGTTTTTTTTACTTGTAATGCAAGATTTTCCCACGTAAGATAAACAGGGCTTCTACCAAGCACGATTTTGGGCTAACTTTTGTCCAACTTCTAACAACGAACGTTGTACACAATTTACCACACTGAAATAGGTTTGCTAGATATATGGGCCGTACAAAGAGAGTTTTTTTTTTTTTTTATCAGTCGTATTGAACGATAATAACGTACAAGATGTTCATATATATGTTCTATTAAATGGCAATCTTCTGGAGTCAAAGATTCAAAACGAACAAGAAAACAAGCAATCTTCTGGAGTCAAAGATTCAAAACGAACAAGAAAACAATTATAGGGTCTGAGGTTTTGGATTACTCGTATTGAAAGATAAAATAATAACAAGATGTTTATACATGTTCTTAAATGGCATTCTTCTGAAATCAAAGATTCAAAACGAAAAAGCAAACAACCAACCAAATTAAGGGTTTGGGTGTCTTTAATGTAAAACCATAAAAATATATTAAAATGTTGTATAAATTAGTGTATATAGACAGAAATCTTCAAAATAGGAATAAAAAGATTTTTCAAGTTTATCCTAATTCAATTTTCAGGCAAAAGTGGGAAAACAATGATCTGATAGGTGTAGATGCATGAATGACCAGTAAGAAAATCTAGGGCATTTTATGACTCAGATTTTGGACGGTAGAGATGATGGATACAACTTCATCTAACGGCCCCTTATTCTTGTAGATCCACCATTCTGAAATCCCTTTATGTAGAGCTCTAGTCTTTACTTTCTTCTTCACTACGGATTATCTAAAAAAGAAAAGAAAAACAATTGCTACCAACCATTTTCCAATCGTA